ACCTATCGTTCAACATATAAGTAATATATGTGCAAATGAAAGAGAATTGTCACAGGGTGTATGCAAAGGGATATGTGGATTTTTATATTTCATGATTGTAAGTGCTCTATAAAAAGGTGACCAAAATGGTTCGGCTTCTAGTGTGGCTCCCAATTCCTAACCCCAAAAACTTACATGTCTTTTGTCTTTAGAAGTAATTATATAATATTATATATAGAAACCAATACAATATAGTAAACTCAAGTCCTTTAAGATCCTGACTATTGATATTCTTGAAAAACTTAAAAAGTACAGTCACCTGGCAAATTCACCAAGAATGATTCCCAAAACAACAAGAATTTCAGAACGTGATTTGTCTGAATCTCATAGGTCCCTATTATCTTGCTACAAAACATAGCATTTATAAATTCTGGGTCTCACTGAGTTCTCAGACAAGGATATATGACAATGGGAAAGAGGCAAAATGATGTTAGTAAAGGGAATAGGACTTTTTGAGTACCATATTTTTGGTTGCTTTTCATATCGAACAACCTGCAAAAAATAAAACCCACTACACAAAATTCCCCAAACTTATCAGTTTGCAACTATTGTACACTAAAGCATTTGTTTCAAAATAATTTTTAAAACACCTCTTTACACTGATGTGATAAGTTTAAGCGTTTCAAACCCAAAACAGCAAACAATGTGTTTAAGTAGTCTTAATCTACAATCCAAATACCAAATACATTAGATATCACTAACAATTTTTCACAAGTTTTTAAATAATTTGAGGATTATTGACCAAATTTGACCAACCGACCAGTCAATGACAAATTTTCAATTACCTATGGTTAAAAGGAAACAGGTAATGACTTACCGTCCACAATGAATACAACCACCTCACTTATTTTAGTCACTAATTTCAGTTTCTTCCCTATGAATATATACTACCAAAAAGTGAACAAGTAGAAAAAACTGAGCAATTTAGTTCTGCCTCTCCCTACTATCTTTATTTCTTTCAGTAAAGATGTTATAAAGCAGTAAAAGGAACCTTAAAAAAAAAAGGACAAAAGGAAAAAAAGAAATAAAGAGCTCTGATGGCCCACCACCTGATTAAGTCCTTGAGTACTGAAGAGCTGGGTTTACTCTCTATACTAAGGACTAAAGCCTTTCATTGGAAACAAACTAAGAATACTGCTCTAAAACAGCAAAAAAAGAAAAGAAAGAAAGGAAGGAAGAAAGAACCACCCTCTGTATGGATTATCTAGCTAACCATCACAACTGAAAATGGAAAACCATCATTATACAAGAATAAAATTCCTATTCTTAAAAAATGAGAAAATATAGGTAAAGTGCTTTGAAAACCTTTAAAAGCTATATAAATATTAGTTGTTATTATCATCTACACTGAAATGTGTTGAAAGAACAAGGTTAAAGCTCTCTTTGCAGTGACCCACTCTATCTTTGTGATGACTGAAAATAACATGAGACCAAAAATTAAGATTTTTAATCTTCTCCCTTCCATAATACTGAATGTATACCATCTGCTGCTAACCCAAAATAAACTTTAATCTACATACTATAAAATGTAGTCATTCACTTAATGTCTAAAATGATTAATCAAGTGAGTTTCAATGATGTATCTACTTGTCATTAATCATTAGGGGGCCTCAAGGAAAACTGATGCAGAAATCCTTAAATATGAAGCAATCTTATCAGTTAATCAAGCACCCAAGAAAAAACTTTTATAACCAACAATACCATGCACTTAAAAACTTTAAAAGAACAGGCATGTTTTCTTACACTGTATTGCTTAAAATCTCACTCTGCACAGATACAGTAAAGTATATCAGCATGTCATTTTATATGCATATAATTTAGTTTCACCTGTGTGCCATGCAGCTCTTTAGAGGCAGAAGTGAACAGATAAAAGTTATTTATCTATCCTTTTCCTAAAACGGCACCCTCAGCAATCCTCCGTTAGTTTCTCTGTTAGTTTTAACCACCTCAAAGGAGTAGATGTATTCCCACACTTGAAACGTGTGCCCTTGGCAAAATTTACATGAAAAAGTGAATCCATGTCTGTACAGTTTCAGAATTTTAAGTATTATAATTATTAATGGAAAAAAAATTACCAAACAGCCCAAACACCAATTACCCCAAAAAAATGGTAACAGGAATTAAACAAGATTTAAAGTATATTAATAATATATTGGGAACCCATGACACTTATCTTTCTTGATCACACATTCAAATTCCATTGGCTCACTAACCAAGAAATTATACTGATAAAGAAATGAAAATCTGACACACAAAAATAATCTAATAAGTGTTCACATTCTTTCAATAGTGTTAACCCCCACTTTTTTCTTCCTACATGAAAACCTGTATTTCTCAAAAAACAAAACAAAACAGAACAAAAACAAACAAACAAAACCAAACAGCATTCCTGGAACCAAAATAGCATGGATGTTTACAGAATTAATTGCACTCAACCAACATCTAAGTAAAGGCTTTTAAGGGATCTAACTTAAGTTGCATATGTATGATTATTACTTTAAGTTGTTGTAAGTACAAGTAGTAGCAAAGAAATCAAATTCCCCCCACCCAAAAGTGTAAGTAATAGCAAATCAACTCCCCCTGAAAAATCTGTGCTCATTTAGGTGAAGCAAAACCCCTTCCCCAAAAAATTAATCCAGAGAGCCTTGGTTTAGAAACTCATGTTAGTTGTTTTAATTATTTTCCTTCTTCACACAGAACTATCAACTTAAGTAATAATTTTTGTATTATTAGAGAAAAGGACTTCTCTAACTGCAGTTTACTTACAAGGAATCATTTTAGGTCTCAACGGTTCTTTCAGTTAAAAAAAAATCGGCATCAAGTCCTTAAACAGGGAGATATCCTCTGTCTAAAGCTCCTCAGAACTTGGTCCCTTTCTACCTTTTCAGTCTACCTTACAATCTACTGGCCTCGTTATTGCTCCCTTGAATTAAAAAAACTTCCTTCTCCACTTCAGGAATTTTCACTGATTTCCCACCTGAAACTCCTTCCCTAGTCCTCTCTATCTCCTGACTTCAAGTACCAGATAAAATCCTACCTTCTTGGATGAGAAACCTCTTGATTCCCCCTTAATTCTAGTGCCTTCCCTTTGCGGATGATCTCCAATTCACGAGGTACACTTATCTTGTTTGTACATTGTCTAACCTGTTAGATGGCAAGTTCCTTGAGATCAAGGACTTGTGTTTTGTTTTTGCCTTTCTTTGTATCCCTGGGGTTTACACAGTTCCTGGTACACAGCAAGCTGTTAAATACTTGTTGACATGACACCACCTACAAGTACAGCTTCCAACTGAACCTCTCCTGATCACACTAATAACTAAAATAACTAAATAACTAAACCGGTGGGAATTTTCTTTCGTTGCTTTTGTTCCATTAGGGTTGTGGAAAGTATAGGGCAAAGAAGACCTTTTCTCAAAGAGCTATTGGGCAAAACCCAAAACTATTAAGAGAAATCTTCCGGTTTTGCATATTCTTCCAAAAGAAAGACAAATGATACGTTTCCCAACACAAACTTTAACAAACATTTACTGCCCGTACAACAACAACAATAGTTTGACCTTTGAGAAACCCAATTTGAACATTACTGACAAATGACGAAAAGCATCTATAAGCCCTTCTGCTCAGGTCTGTGGCTAAAGAGTGTTGTAGGATTACTTATACTAGACCTATACTGGTCTGTTTTCAGTACTAGACACGGAGCTTTCGGGACCCTTCAGGCTCGCTCTTCTGGGAACTCCATCTTCAATACTAAATCTGCTCGGGCCTCGAGAATTTTTAAACACTTAGCTACAGAGAGAAGTTGCTAATATTCAACTTTTAAAGGTCAATGGGGCTAGTCTTCTAACCTTCCCCCATCAACACGTGTTCAGCACAAACTTCCGGGTGCAGTTACAATTGGCTGCGGAATTCAACGGCCAAAAACCTTGCTTCCTTTGACCCTGTTTTCTTTCCCTATCTACCAAATTTTCTTTTTAATAAGCACACCCCAAAATAAACGGCTCCCACGTTCAAAAAAAAAAAAGGTTCTTCCCTAACATGGAACTTCTCCAGAAGAGAAGCTGAGCCTAGCTGGGTGTCCGCAAGCAATTCCCCAAGAGAAGCACAAAGCAGGGATGCAAGGGGGAGGAGCTGCACGCCGGGGTCAGGAGAGAAACAATCACCAGGGTTTCCAGACACCCGCGAGTCCGGGCCCTTCAGACGCACCCGAAGCCACTCCCCCCACCCCAGCAGCCCATCGATTTGGGGAAGTTTCAGGGCTCGCGGACAGCGGCACATCCCCGTCCGCATGCCCCCGGCGGCCCGGCCTAAGCGGCCGGCGCAGCTGCTCCCCACACCTGGACCCTCTGAGTTGGGGGAAGGAGAAGAAAGAAGGGATGCCCCCGACCCAGCAAGCCCCTCCCAGACGGGAGAGAGCCCCCCACGTGCCGAGGCTCCCCCTTTCTGACAGTCACGACCAAGACAGAAAGGAGGCTCCGGCCCCGGAAGATTCGTACAAACCCTCTTCCCGACCCCTCCGGGCCTTTGCCCGAGGCAGGAGGGTGTCTCCGACGACCCCCCTCGACCCTTCCCTCCCTGCGCGAGCAGGGACAAGAAAACCGTTAAAGCTGGGAACGAGGAGGAGGTCAAGCACACCCGTACCCTTCGTTCCGGCGCGGTCCCGGGGCCGCAGCGCAGGGGACGTGGGCCTGCGCTCCCCCTGGCCGTGCCTCAGTTTCCTCTTCTGCACGGCCGCTCCCTCGAGCCGGAGACCAGGCGCCTCGCGGCGTGGCCGGAAGGGGAACGGGGCCGGCGAGGGCCTTGGTGGGAGAAGGAGCGCGGCCGAAGCCGGGGCCGTGGCTCGCCGCTCCGGTCCCGGCGTCAGGCCCGGGGCCCCTCAGGAACCGCAGCCGCCGTCGAGGGCTGGGGGAGGGGAGCGCAGGAGAGGCTGCCCGGGCAGGAAGCCGGAGCCTGGGGTAACTCACCTTCTCCTCAGGATCGGGCGAGCCGGCGGCGTCGCCAAGACTGCGAGGGCTCGGGGGGCGGCGAGGCTGCAGGAGCGGAGGCGGCGGCGTCGGCGGCTGCGTCCGGGTCTGCCTACCTCCCCGCCGCCATCTTGACGCCCCTCCTCCTCCTCCTCCCCCTCCCCCCGGCACCACCGCCCCCCCTTCCCGTCCCGCCCGCCCCGCGAGGGGTGGGGAGGGGCAGGAAGGGGGCGCGCGCGCGCCGACGCCGTTCCACGTGACTTCCGACCAGGTCTCCGCCCACCCTCCTCGCCCCGCCTCTCGCCGCTGGGAAAGGGGAAGGTGCCCCCCCCACCTCCAAGAACTCTCACCCCCCAGGTCCCCAACCCCCAAATCCCACCGGCCTGGAACCAGTGGCTGGATCCGAGCGAACTCCGGAACCAGATGGGTCCATCTCTTCGGCCTAAGAATGGGCGAACGGTAAGGGGGGGCGCGTTTTCGAGAAGGGGGAGGGGGACAAGCGGAGGCCGCCTCGGATAGTCACGTGGCTACCGCTTCCGACGACGCAGCAGCAGCTCTCGCGAGAATTCCCTACACCCTCCTCCCCTTCCCAGTTTCACCACGCTCTTATCACCCACTGGCTTCCCCCGAAAGTGTTGCCGGGAAGAAGGTCTCAAACACTTCGCGGCGCCATGAGGAGGTCTGCCGGCGCGCAGGCGCACTCCGGCCTCATAGTCCCAAATCAGCTGTTCTAGATCTATTCCACTTAAAAAGCCTGAGTCGTACTGTTCCCACGCTTCCCGGGCCTACTGGCGGGAACTTGTACCCTGCCGGGAGCGCACCCATGTATGACCACGCCGGGCTGTACATGCAGACAGTGCAATTTATTTGGGAGCCTCTGCTTTGGGGAGAGGGAGACACTTCTCCCTATCACCACCTCTCCTAGGCAGAAGAAACCGGGGTAAGGGGGTCCGGTCCCACCACGACCCGCCGGCTAGAATGAATGAATGGAAGCTTCCTCAAGGGCTGTGACCGTCCAGCGTTTGTGCTCAGCACTGTGCCTAGCTAGTATATCAAAAATGCACGGGAGGTGCCAACCCCTAGCCTAATGTTGGAAGACCTGCATTTGAATCCTGCCTTAGCTACTTCTTAGCTGGGGCAAGTCTCCCTTTCATAGTTTCAGTTTCCTTATTCCAAAAATGAAACCAGACTAGAATCTGAGTTGTTATGAGACTTGGTCCAACTGGTGCCTAAAGAAAAATTTCCTCTACAGCACAGTTCATGAACTTTAAAAACATACAGTATTCAATTTACAGCACTATAATTGATTTTCTTAGTCATCCTATGTATTTTATGCATTTAAAAACATTATTCTGAGAAAAAGTTCCTGGCTTCCCCTGCAAGACATTATATAAATTCTAGCTTGCTATTAAGTCGGATATTACCTGGAAACAGATTGTGGCTTGGAGTGATCAATGGGGAAAAGAGGAGCTCATCAACTTATATAGTTGGGAGTCTACTGAACAGCTGTGACTGTTGATAGAGCCCTTTTATCTAGAGGTGACTATGATAGATTTTTTGAACAACAGACTGAAAAAAATTGGGTTCCAGAGGTAGACCATCCCCGTTTGAATAACATGGGAGAGAGCAGAAGCTGGGAGGTGAGGGAAATAGGGACAGTTCTGTGCTGGGGAGATGAACATGGAGAGATATTGTGCTGTTTTAAGAAGGGAGAAAAAAAAAAGGAAAAGGACACAGTCTCCCAACTATATATAGACTCTTGAGTATAACCAATATTTGGGAAAAAATTATATTCTATATTGTCAAATGGATGCTTTGTGATTATATAGAAAAAGGAACAATGACCACTAAGAGCTAGCATGATTTCACCAAGTCATTACAGACTAACTTTTTTTTTTTTTTGGTGAAGTAATTGGGGTTTAGTGACTTGCCCAGAGTCTCACAGCTAGTATTATATGTCTGAGGTTGGATTTGAACTCAGTTCCTCCTGACTCCAGGGCCAGTGCTCTATCCACCACACCACCTAGCTGCCCCTCCTTATTTCTTTTTTATGAAGTTTTTTTTTTCTTTTTTATGAAGTACATCTGTGGAATGCTATCAGAATAATCAAATGTTTTCCTGAAATCTAAATATTATCTTTCAGGATAAGATGGAGAGCTATGAGGTACAGTAAGTTTAGGGGAATTCAGAACTAGTTTAACAAGGGGACCCAAAAAACAGTCATTAATGGAATGACATCAATGTGGAAGGCCTTTGGTTGAGTGCCCCAATGATCTGGCTATTTTTTGGTCCTAAGATGTGTATCTTGGATGAAGGCACAAGGAATGCTTAGCAAATCTACAAAAGAAACAAAGCTAGCAGAGTTGAAAGACAGTCAAGAGTTCAATATGGGGAATATAAGGACCCAGCCTAGTAGGATGAACTATAGTAGAAATAACCATAAGCTATAAGACAGTTCATGTGAAAAAGATCTGGGGAGCTTTAGTGTCCTGCAAGCTGAATGAGGCAATATTTTGGCATGCTAGTCAAAACCTAAACTACTGTAAATCTTAGGCTGCATTAAGACAAATAGTTTACAGAACAAGGGAGTCAGTCACTAGTTTCATTACATTCTACCCTGGGTCAGACATCTGGAGTATTGTGTATTCAGTTCTGGGTGCCCCATGTTGGGAAAGACATCAACAACAGGGCATTCAGAAGGGAGCAGCCAGAAGGAGGAAGACCAGGATTGTGAGGGAGCTGGAGACTTATATACAGGGATTAGCTGGAAGAACTGGGGATGTTCAGCCTGGGGAAGAAAAAACTTGGGGAAAGGGGACATAGATAGCTTCTGGTCTTAAAGGTGTGTAAGCTTGGAATTACCCTCTACTATTATAGAGAGAGCTGGTGGCATAGTGGAGGTCTGGGGCCTGAAGCCAGGAAGGCTTGAGTTCATATCTGACCTTGGACATTTACTAGCTGTGTGACCTTGGGCAAGTCACTTAACTTCTGTCTGCCTCAGTTTCTTCATCAGTAAAATGGAGTTAATAATAGCATCTTACCTCCCAGAGTTGTGAGGATCAAATGAAATATTTGTAAAGAGCTTAGTACGTACATAGTAGGTGCTATACAAAATGTATATTCCCTTTCCTCCCCTTACTGTTCCTCACTCGCTCCGTATTTCCAAATCAACTGTCAAATCTTGGTATTTTTACCTCCATCTCTCCCATCCATAGTCCCTTTGTCACTCTCAGCGTAGGCTCTGCTCTCTTGCCAGGACCTATCTGTCACTACACCTCTCTCATCTACTGTCCAGGTGGCTGCCTGAGAAATCTTCCTTAAGCACAAACTTCAGTGGCTTCCCATTTCTCACATAGAAGGAATATATAAACTCCTCTATTTGGCATTTTAAGCTCTTCACAACCATCACCTCCATCCACCTTGTAAAAGGAAGCTAGCTTCATTATACCCAACACTTGGGCCCACCTGTCTTCTCTTGGAAGCCATGGAGGCGCTGCCTCCTGTCCCTGCCCGTTTGTGCACTTGTCCCTCATGCTTGGCAGGCACTTCTTCCTCACCTCTGCATCACAGCATCCCTCTTCCTTCAAGATTCAGCATAAGCACCATCTTCTACATGAAGCCTTTCTTGATCCCCTCTACTGCTAATATCCTTCCTCCTACCTGGTATTTATTTTGTATATATGCTTTACATACCTCTTTGGAATACTCACACTCTTACTCTCTCTTCTCTGTCTTTCTCTTTCTTTCTTAATGGAATATAAGCCCCTTGGGGGCACAGACTTTCATTTTTGGCTTTGTATCTCTCAAGCTTAGCATATAGTAGGCATTTAATAAATGCTCGTTGAAACTTTGAAAGACTTAATGATGAGTCTTCTCCTCTTCCTGATAAAGAGAGACTTTTTTTGGACGTGGCCAAAGTGGGAATTTGTTTGCTTGACTGTACAAGTTTATAATAGGGTTGAGTTTTTTCCCTTGCTTTCTCAAGGGAGGGTGGAGAGAGGGAGAGAGTTACTATTTGGGAGAGTGAGAGAAGATAGATCATCATGAAAATAAAATACAATTTAATTTTAACAAATGCTTGTTGATTAACATCTGTGAGGCTCTCTTAGACTTGTTCTATGTGGTATGAGGGCAAACAAACATGGAAATGGACTGTTCCTGGAGGTAACAAGTTACCTTCACTAGGTTTCAGGTAGGGAGGTGAGATTGCCATCAACCTGGAACATTATACAGGTAATTCCTGCTCAGCTCTAGTTTGGATTGGATGGTATCTAAGGTCCCTTCTACCTTACAATCTACAATAATAAACCAAGTAGTGGTTTGGGTTTTTTTGTGAACTTTACAAAGTCATAGTTAATAAACACTTATTACACCCTTTACTATGTGCCAGGCACTGTGCTAAGTGTTAGAGATACAACTAGGAAAAAAAGAAAGACAGTTCTTACCCTCAAGAAGTTTACAATAGAATGGGAGAAGACACACAAAAGAAAACTAAAAAAGGAGGCACATGTTGTGAAGAGGTCAGAAAAATCCAAAATTAGTGCAGCCAGGTAGGAAATGAGATGTCTGTTCTTCCCCTCATCCTTAAAAGGAAGTTGAGAAATTCCCCCTCTTCCCCACCAGTTGAAGGGGAAGAGGGCACTGATGAGTTGTGAGTACCAAGGCTGAATAAATCTTGCAAGCCGATGAGCTTTCCCAATGATAGGTTTACTGGGAGGCTTGGTAGAGAAAGAAGTCAACCAAAATGGGTGGGAAAGAAGATTTCTTGCTGTTATATAAACTCACCTCTCCAGCTGACTTCTGAGCAGAGCCCAAGATCCTGGCCTATTCCTGCCTCCCTCCTACTGCTGGGAAAGGGGAAGGGTCCATTCTCTCCTCCCCGACACTACTACTCCCAACGCTCTTCTTTCTCATGGTTTTTCCCATTGGTTCTAATTCTTCTTTACAACATGACTAATGTGAAAATGTTTAATAGGAATGTATATGTAGAGCCTATATCAGATTGCATGCCATGGAGGGGGGGATTTAAAACTCAAAATATTATGGAAGTGAATGTTGAAAACTA